CCGAACATATTTTTCAAATCGGCCGAGGAGAGCTCCAACTTGTTTCAGGCGGCGCGCGCGGCGAGCGCGGAGGGCGACGCCGCGGGCAGCTTGTGCGCGCCAGACGTCGCTGGGGACGTTCCGAGCGTGTTCAGCGGCGAAGAAGGCGAGACCGTCGAGCTCAGCGACTTCGCGACAGTGCTGTACATCATCGTTGACCGCGAGGTCGACGGGAAGAAGGCGCCGAAGTTTGAGAACCGCGGCGAGGGCGTGATCCGCGTGCTGCGCGATAAGGAGTCGGGCGCGGTGCGCGTGATTTTCCGACAGAGCTCGACGTGGAAACTGCTGCTGAACTCGCCGGTATCCGCGATGCGCGGCGCGCAGCTCGTGAACAACTGCTACCTGCGCTTCCTCGCGTACGACTTTGCGAAGAGCGAGGCGGCGGCGGACAAAAGCGTGCAGTTTTCGATTTTCGCGGTGAAGTTTGCCCACGCGGACAAGGCGGCCGCGGCGCTGCAGCTGTTGGAAAAGGCGATGGATAAAGAGAAGCGCTAAACTCGGCTCTCCGCGCGTTCCGGCTCCGGGGTGTCGGCGGGCGCCGGTGGCGGCGCCGGCTCGCGCGAGAAGCTGCGCATCAGCACAGCGTAGGCGAGCAGCAGCACGTTGCCCGCGAGGCAGAGCTTTAGCACGGAGCGGTTGACGGCACGCTGGTCGCCGAGCGAAACGATGCCGGCGGCGAGCGGGCGCTCTTTCGGCTCGACGAGCGCGGTGAACGAGTCGATCATCTCGCGCAGCTTCTTGGCCTTGCTGTTCGCAGTGATGTTGCCGAGCGCGGCGGCCGAGCCGGGGTCTTTGAGCGACTCGACTTTCGCGACGAGCGTTTCCAGCAGCGCCTTTTCTTCCGCAGAGAGCGTCTCGAAGAAGCGGTGCGCGAGCAGCACCTCGCTGAGCTCGGGCATTTCCTGCGAGAACACCGCGAAGAGCGCGCCGGCGACGAGCAGCACGTCTTTGACGTTTCGGCGCGCCGGCGCTGGCGCCAGCGTCGCGTCTTGCAGAATGCTCTTCAGCACGTTCAAGCGCGCCTTGCGTTGGCGTGGCGGCAGGTTCAGCACGAACTTCATCAGCTGTTCGCCGGGCTTCTCGCTCTTCGCGATGAACCGCAGCTCGGGGTTCGCGCGCAGCTTCTTCTCCTTGATAAACGCAAGCACCGGCGCTCTGCGAGCGTCTGCTGCGGCCCAGTCGTACTCTGCCGCCGCGTCGCCGGAAACGTCGAGGCGCAGCAACTCCGCGAGCTGCGTGCTCGCCGGCTGCGGCGCGGCGCGCTCCGTGCGCGGAAGCGCTTCTTTGGACTGCGCGGTCGAGCGCAACGCGCTCGTGGCGTCTGTGCGGCTGGGCGGCTGCGCCGCAGCCGGCGCGGACGCGGGCGCGCCGCTCAGCGCAGCTGCGGTTGGAGCTGCGGCGCGCGGAGTCGCGGGCGCCTCGCTGGGCGCGTTGGGCGGCGGCGCGGGCGGTGTGGACAGCGGCGCAAACTCCGGCGCGAGGCCGAGGCGCGGTGGCAGCGCCTGCTGCGTG